GAAGAATCATTATTCACTAATCTTTATATAATGTCCCAGAGAACCACTTGGCTGGAGTAACATTGATTATATCTGAGGAATGCTGAGCATAATCCAGTCCTAGTTAAAATTCCAGGTTTAAATGGACAGCTAGGAAAACGTTCAACTCTTTCATTGAAATAATGTCTCAGAGAGCTACATTTCTGTTGGGTTTTGATCCAACAGCGATTAGGATAGACTTTCTATTGCGAAGTATCTGATAATCAGGCTTCTTCCTATTCACCAACTCCCAAACGTATCAATCTTTCACTATGTCCCTGTGTTTCTATATTTAGCAAGGAAACTACATTTTCAACACAGAATATATTATTTAACTAAACATGCATAGTACTATTTAATGAACTTGGCTTTCTAGTTATGTTATATTTATTAAGTACAGTGTTTTGACCAATATAGTTGGTTAGTTCAGGCACAACAGCAAACGATAATTTAACACTGCATGAATAAGCCGGCTTCCAATTTTTCCTTATATGCTTTCAGTTTGTCTGGGAAGTAACATTAAATTATTGTTTAGTTTGCAAGCTTCTTTTGGAGGTAATTTCTAAGCAAATTCTAGTTCGCACAAATAACAAAAATGATTTAAACTGTAAGACAGACTGGTAGTCATGGAAGTTGCAATGAAAAAAGCCACAAGCATGATTTCATTTACACTTGACTAGAGTTGATGTGTGGCAGTTTTCTTCTCCCTGAAATGCAAACGATAAGAAAATAGGTATTCCATACTGCATATGTAACATTTACTAAGCAGCAACATCAAGTAGATTACACTGTAAGAAATACAGCATTCCCAGATAGAAGCTATGGTCTTAGCAGTTATCAGACTGGTACGATTCTGCAATCTGAAAGTAGATGCTGTCAGTGGGATTATTCTCAATACAATCAAGAAGCATGATGGATGATTCAGAAAAGGCTTCGGTTCTATTGTTGCCAGATGGCATTTTTAAAGGAAAAGGGAGTTAAATGAACAGAAGCTTTTAATAAAGGCATATTTTTTGGCTGAGTTACATACTTAACTGGGAAAATATAGCTTCCTGCCATAGGATGCATCTCACTGCCTTTTCCTTCTCTTTCTCATTTAAATAAAATGTCGCATCAATTCAAGGAATTATTATTTGTCAAAATTCAAGTTAGGGAACAAATCAGGAGCTGAAGCACTGATTTGCTCCTAAGTTTTTCTTTTCCCGAAAATCCAAAACAAACCACAGTTCCCTATGTTAAGTAGGCTAGGCTAGGTTAAACTGAAAGCATCAGACTTCTCATAACTAATCACAATATCCTTGTAGCCATAAAATAGGAGAATAGTAACAAACAGTAAACCTGAGAAAACTTTTCTTCATTTTATATTGCTGTGTGTGTGTGTGTGTCTGTGTGTGCGCAGAATTTCTGCAACAGAAATCCACTCACCTGTAAATATCTTCTGCAAACTTCCTGCAGCTGGCTTCCTCCCAAATCTTTTGTAAGTTCTTTGTTTTCTTTCATATTTTCTTCTTTGCTGCTCTCAAGTGATCTAACAAGCAACCCAAGAAAGGAAAAGAAGACACACTTAAAAAATTGCTCTATAATCCATGCCTTATAGACCAAACAGAGAATCACAAAATCAAAAGTAAACTATATGGTCAGCATCTACATAAATAAGAAAAAATAATTAGAATGCAATCTTTCACAAGATTTTATACAAATCATAGCTTCAAAACACAGGAAAAACTACAAATTATAATAATCACAAATGGGTTCACTGGCTCAGGTTATACTCCTTGTTTTTTCCTTTGGCTGGGCTCCCATTTTGGCTTCCTCTCTTTTAAAGGGTCTAACCCCAGATTTCAGATCAATAATCACTACACCGTCCCTATTTTTATCCATCTGCAAAATAGGTTAATGATTAAGGCTTATTCAAAATGCATTACTTGATGTTCTTCAATATTTTCTCCAGCTTCTTCACTTGGTGTTTATAAAATTTTAATTCTTGCACAGTTGGCCTGAAGGGAAGAAAACGTTCTGTCAAGTTTCACAATGAAAAGATTGTTCCTGTGGATTTATTGCTGTTTGTTGCTTTTACAAGGCCGGTAACACCCCTGCCAAACATTCACCAAAATATGCTTCTGTTGCTCTCAGTAAGTTTATTAAATGGTCATCTGTTATTATGACAGCATGAATTAGATATTTGAAAAATGACTTGTAGAGATTGCTTGATGTTCAGTAGGGAATGTTTTCACACAGAATTTAAGATCCAGGATTTAAATCAAATCCATGCATGCATGCTGCGCTGAAATTGTTTTGCCCACTCACCTAATTTCCATCTCTTTCTTGAGATTAATATTTTCATGCACAAGTTGTTCATTTCGAGCTTTTGTTTCAATTATCTGTGTCTGGAAAGACTTGGAAATATTTATTACAAATATTACACTCATCCATATGCATGCAAACAATGCATCTTCTCATTTGTCTTAAACAATTAAGTAGATGATTAATGAACAGGATATATACTAATAAATGCTGAAAAATAATGTCTTACTTAAGGTTTGACCGAAGAAATCCACAGTTTATAGGGTTTCTTTAAATTAAGAACTCCTTCCAATGATTTAAATCCATGTATTTAACTACTTGAAAATATCTGAAGATATAAAATATAACGGGCAATGCTTTATCTTTCAAATTGAATTGGTAAATAATAGCAGTGAGATCAATTTCTGTATCTGGCAGAATGTTTATTTAAAAAATGGGGAAATGGAGGGAAAAATTAGGAAGATTCTAATGGAAAGATAGCAGACTATATGAGGTATGCTTCAAAAAATGAATACTTGCTGAAAAAAGCAAAAAAGGTTTTTGATATACATAGTATTTACAAACTATGATGATAGAGATATACGTAGCTCAGGATTTGGGTATAGGGTTATGGGGGTTTTCTAAGCTTGTTTTTCAATTGTAGACATTAGTGGGATACCTTTGAAGATTATCAACCAATAACTTCAGCATAATCCTAAAGTGAATTACACTATAATTTACCAACTGGGAAAGTTATAATTTTACACCTAGAGGTTAGCAATAGCAATAGCAGTTAGACTTATATACCACTTCATAGGGCTTTCAGCCCCCTCTAAGCGGTTTACAGAGTCAGCATATTGCCCCCAACAANGGCCAGTCAGAGGTGGTATTTACCGGTTCTCCAAACTACTCAAAATTTCCACTACCGGTTCTCCAGAACCTGTCAGAACCTGCTGAATTTCACCCCTGGTCTATCTTCCAAAGTGTAGCTATGCTGGCCTTCTGCAGGCAGAACACACCAAATCTCAGCCTCTTTTTACACCCTGAAACTTGGTCTTCCTTGATCCCCATCAGAATTTCTGAGCCAGGCTCAACAAGAGCCGTTTTCAGTCAAACCCAGTTTGCAAATGTCCCAGGTGAAAAACGTGGGCCTTTCATGTGGCTGTAACGCAAAGCCACTGATGGAAAACCATGTAAGATAACAAAGGGCAGCTCCCTACGCCTTTATCTCCAGCAGCGGGGACACTAAATCACAGAGTCCATCTCTTATCAGGCGAGGGGTGCGGGCCTTCCCCCACCCTCTTCCGTGGGTGCAAGACTGCGAAGCAGATGGATTGACCTCCTCGGTGAGGTTTCTTACTCAGAAAATTGGCAAAGGGACAGGGTAAACCGTCTGTGCGATGAATGCCACCGGGTCGAACAGCACGGGAAGAACAATGTAGGGATTTATTAAGCCATGAAGGATCTCGGGAATAGGGGTTGGGGGCTGGTGGCTGAAGTAGCCGAGGCTTCGGAGAGTCCATAAATTGCCGCATTTTTTCCCACTGACTCCAACCGTCTCCTGTGGCATCAATAAATTCTGATGACAGCTCTTAACATGGTACAGTAGTTCTATCGGGCAGCACCTTCATTTATTAAAGGAATCAAAGTGACTCCAGTGACAGCTGCATGTCACCCCATCCTACTGCATTGATTACAATCTCCCCCCCCTCCCCAAATAAACCTCCCCCAAGTCCTGGGGGGGCCAGATTGCAAGCTGTCCTTGCAATCTGGACGGGGAGTCGGCGAAGGGCCCATCTCTAAACTTCTTGGGTTTTAATTAGCTCGAGACGACCTGGGACAGCCGTGATATAAAGCCGCCATTCTCAGATGTTGGGTGGGCTTCTGTTAAAAAACAAAGTCGGAAAAGTCATTAAAGCACCTCAGTGGCACCCGTCCAGGCGTCTGGGCCGCGGTCCCCTTATAAGGGGTTATTAGCCAAATATTACGGGATGGGAGATAAGATCAGAAGAGAGGGTCTGGGAGAAAGTCATTGTCTGCAGCAATGGGGGGTGGGGGGGGGGAAGGAAGCCTGCAGATTGGGGCTTCCTCGACTTACGACCACAGTTGAGCCCAAAATTTCTCCCCAAGGGAAGTTGTTAAGTGAATTTCCTCTCCCCCCCATTTTACAACCATTCTTGCTCCAGTTATTAAGTGAGCCATTGCAGTTGTTAAATTAAATCACTTCACATGACTCTGGGACACTGCAACGGTCATAAATAGGAGTCAGTCGCTCACTGTCATAAAGTTCCTCCTTATTTCCAGGTTGAATCTCTCCTTGCATCAGTTTCCATCCATTATTCCTTGTCTGGCCTTCAGGTGCTTTGGAAAATAGCTTGGCTATTTCCCCCTCCCCTCAAATATTGGAAGACTGCTATCATGTCTCTCCTCGTCTACCCTTGAAAAGCGTTCGGAGACTACAGCTAGTCCAGAATGCAGCCGCGCGAGCGATATTGGGTGTAC